TCTATCTCTGTTTCGCCACCGCCTCCACCGCCTCCACCACCTCCGGGCGGACGCGCCGACTTTGCCCGCTCCCCATACGAGCGTACGTTTCGCGACGAAATTTCATCCTGATTCCTTTCCTCCATTTTTTAGGATGATCCCAAGGCGCCCCTGAGGGTTACAAAAAGGTACACGAAGATCCTCCGGTCGACTGACTCCCTTCCAGATGAAATTACGGGATGAGGAATGTTCCTATTTTTAAAAAATTAAGCTACTTCTCTGTAAAACATAAAAATATATAATAATACCAGGCTCCTGCGTTTTGGCCGCGACTCGTGTGATTTGGAGAACCGGCACTCGTACCTCGTTTTCGCCCTTGTTCCTCGATTTTTGAAGTATCCCGCTCTTTATAGAGTGCTTTCAGCGAGCCCTCAAAGAGGATACTCGGTCCCCCCTTTCCGGCGCTCTCGCAAATCCAGGAGGAACATTTTTCTCTCCTGCATCGAGAGAGCCCGAAAGAGGATCGGGAACCAGCAGATGACGCTCGTTTCCCCTTCCCACTGCTTCTAGCTCGGTTCCTCTCCGTCGTCTCGGTTTCTCTTCGCCCCTCTTCCCCGTCCTCTTTGTGGAACCTCCTCCTCCCTCCACGGTAGCTCGTAATCCCCCTTCCCGGAGCCAACGCGCCGTTCACGGCGTGGCCCGCGTTGTTCGCGAGTTCCACTTCGCTGCGGCGGACCCTTCGCGTGTTTCCTCGATTTCTTCTTTTATTTCATTTATCCCTCGCCTTTTCATTCGCATTGTCGTCCCCTTTACCGGAAAATCTCCGCTCTCTCTCTGCGTCCCCGACAATGTATTTATACGATGAAATATGATCTAAAGTTTGATAGAAAATATTATCCGAGGATCGATGCAATTTCAAATAATCGTGAAGGCTTTCGGATGAATTACTTTTGGGTACTAGATTAATCACCGTATTATTAGATTTTGGGATTAATTAGCGGGGACGGTGATTATTCGATTTTTTACGCCTGCGGCTCTCCTCGCGCCGGATTCCTTTTTCGCGCCGCGGCGGGTTTTTCGCCCGGGCGTCCACCATCGATTGTTAGTGCGATATTTTGCAGGGCCATTACGCACTTGAGAGACGCGGACGTCCGAACAATGCCGGCCCGAAATCATAACTCACGATTTCGCCGGCATTCGGAGCGCGACATAGCCGCGTCCCGCTGCGTGTGCGCGTACAACAAAACAACGCGCAGTTCCCTCGCTCGGCCGCGGTTCCGCACGAAAATCGTATGCGGTTTTCCCCTATCGGCCGATGTACCTCGCGAGAGGTATATCACACTTAGATAATACGAAAGTACGCCGCCCCTCGTTAGTCAAAAGGGCGACTTTGACGGGATACGCGTGAAAGCGATGTAAAAATTCTTCAATTAATAAAAATCTGAAATTAATGGAAAATCCGGGAATTAGCGCATCATGAAAATTCCGGGATTGATGAAAGACGGCGTAAAAATTCTGAAATTATTGTACAAATCTTGTGGGGGGACGAGATGGCGGGAAAATGGCGCGGTTTGCTTCCGCTTCCACTTCGCGATCACTCGGAATTCGAGGACGAAAATCGGGACGGCGAGACGTGTTGGATGAGCCCAAGGGTGGGCCGAGTGCGGGCTAATGCGCGATGATTAAACTAACGGGGACCACCGATCACCCTGCCAGAATGCCCCCTCCTTTTCTATGCCTTTCCCTAGGAGTCGGAGAAATGGTGGGCCGGAGGAACGGAGAACCGGAGAGCCGGGAACCGTAGGTGGAACCGACGTCCCACCTTTCGACGTCTCCGCGTCCCATTCCGCGCCCATCCCCGACTCCCACACTGCGTCCATTTTCGGCGCCAAAGGTGGACGTCCTCTTATAAAAGCGTTATTAATGCCCGATATCGCTCCCCGCGATAACTCCACCGATGTGGCCCAGGATCGCCGATAACGCATCTCTCTTTCCGTCCTACGTCGAACCTCTTGACCCCGCTTCCCCTCGCCCACGCACTTGCCGATTCCTGCGATCGCGCCTTTTACTTTTTTCCCTTCTCGATAATCGATCGCGAAGGAGGTCCATCGGGGAAGAAAAATCGATCGGGACGCGGAGAAGGTCCGAGGCGACCCGATCTCGGGGCGCCTCGGATCCGGCAAGGTGGTTGGCCGGTTATTTATTCGGCTACTTAAATAACCATAACGCGCTAATAGCCGGCGGTGGTGGTGGCTCGAGTTCTACGGGGCTGGATTTATTTATGGGGCGGATTCGTTGTCGGCGTGTAAATTCTCGAGCGGCGCACCGAACGCCGGAGGTCGTCCGCGCGGTGCGCTTCCGGAGCCAAAACCGCAGCGCTCGTTCATCCGCGAAAGGACTTCCGGCCTGTCCGATTCGCGATCGCGGACTGCACTCGAAGACTATTCCCCCTGTATTCCCGATTCTTCCCATGGAAAATTTCTACCACTTCCGACGCTGCCCTTGAAAATCGAAACCCTTCTCGATCAAGTTTTACTTCTTTAACGTCCTAAAAACGCTACAATCCCTCCAACGTTTGGTCCAATATTGCCTGCACGTATACAGGAATTTCGCCCATATGTCGGAACAACCGTACTCGAAAGGTTAAAACCAGGAATAAAATTCCTGCCCTGGAATAAATGAAATTCTTCGTCGTGGGATTTTTGGTCTCGACCTGGAACCGCTCAAGAATCGTCATCGACGCATATGCACTCGCGTGTCAACTGACACGACCCGTGCCCAGCATGTGGGTTTTCGAGTGGAGGCCACACAAAATTAGATAAGAGTCAACCACCTGCTCCTCTTAGCATTAATAACCGCAGAAGCAAGGACAGCCATTTATCCGGGCGCGTCGTTGCATTTTCGCAGGCGGGTGCAGTGCGGCCAGGAATTGCCCGCGCCATTGGTGCATCCCCGATTACCGAATCGCACCAGCTGACCGATGATCGATCGCGAGCCCGGCAAGGAGCGATTACACATTCAACTGGTCCACCCGCGGAAACGTGATCGGATTGAGCGAGGTACTCGCGGATTGAGTAATCGCGCCGATTTTTCCGCAGCCGAGTGCGCAGTCGGTCGGCGCGCGTGACAAGGGGGCTTAGCGCGTCGCGGCGCCATCGTTGGGAGGATAAACTCGAAACGAGCGAGGAGTCTATCTCATACGTTATGTCCTCGGGGTCCCGACGACGCATCCTTGTTTGAAAAGTCACATAATCTCGACTGATTTACGGCGCCTTGAACGCCGTCCCTGATTCTTGCCCGCGCCCCTTCTTGTCGAGGTCTTACAGGATTCTGACTGATCTCCGACGAGATGGTCCACCTCTCATCCGGTTAGAAGATAAAGAAAGGTGTACCCGAAGAGGTGTTCAGATAAGAAGTCGCGTAATTGCTCATTTTCCTTATCAAAGTTAATTTAATCTGCATTTTTTCATCTAAGCTAAGGGGGTGAAACATGGAACCTTGACCCTTGCCATCTTCTTGAACGGGTTATAGAATATGGATCAGACCGATCTCTAGAGGGAGGATTAATTCACTGTAATTTGAATTTTATACCCGAGCCAAAGGGGTGCCGAAACTAGGGCGAGGACGTTCCTCGAGATGCACCAGGGATGCATTTCCCGGAAGCGAGAGGGAGAACGACCGGCGTTATCCCGGACGGGGAGAAATATTGCGATTCGCCCACCGCGGTGATGGCCGCATACGTCGGATCATCGATCCTGCCGAGCCAATAAGGCTGTCGGCGGAATTCATTTAGCTACTTAATCATTTATCATCGTTACAACAGGAAGCCCGCGATGCACCGGGTGCATCGCCTCCCAGTCCCGAAGTGGTCCAGCAGGAGCAGATGCCGGATTTCCTGACATCCCGGAGCCTAATGATGAACAAAACGGTTGCACCGCCGGAAGAGTTCCAACATGGCGTGGGGTTGCCCTACCCTGGGAGATCCCATCATCGAGCGAAAGTTTCCCATGACTCCCGTTGTAAACCCGCGCGTATCCACGCGAAACCCTTGCAGTCGATCCCCGAGGTCCGGTCTCATTAAAATCATCCAACTTTAGACGTCGTCGGGCTTTCTCAGCTGCGCGATCACATCTGCGAGTTTCACATCTTTGTCGGAGCTGGATCGCGTCCAAGAGCCCACCGTTCGTTCCTGACCCTAGCTCGCGAATGCACACCCACGTTCTCGGAGAGCTTTCAAATTGTGCTCCCAAGACAGGATGGACGGAACATAACTGGAATATCGCCCGTTCCCATGGCTAAGTCCAGGATCCAGGTTCACGGTACCCCAGCACCTCCACGAAGGACTCTGCCCGACAAGAGTGGGGTACGCCAACCGTTCTAGTCCAGATTGCGCAACGAGGAGGAGGCTCTTGGAATCGACCTAACCCACGGTCAGGCATGGGTTAGGTTCCCGAAGCAGTCGGAGCAATAAAACCCTGAGAACGAGAAGTAGCCGGGTCGGGAAAAATGGATTCCCGGAGGCCTCTTGCTGGTCGCATTCGCAAAGCCGATGGCCGGCACCCCTGCAGCGCCGCGGCCGCAGGGGCGGGCCTCGGTGCAGAGGTGCATCGGTACCCAGGGTACCTAAGGCACCTAGCCTGGCATTATAAGGGTTAGGGGCAGCGTTATGCAAAAGGAATTCAGGCCGGACCTGTGCAGGGCCCGGAGGATCCGTGAAAGCGAGCCCGGCGTCGCGGCGTCGGTGTTTGTTCACGCCTTGATTTACTGCCGAGGCCAAAGGCTTGCCAATAAGCTCGGCCACGCCGGCCGGTCTCGTTTGAATACGCAAATTGCGAGATCCAAGGTCGTCAAGCTCAAGGGTTCACCGAGGAGGCCTCCGTCGGCAGTCGCAAGTGCAGTGCGTGGGAGGATGGACGTCCTCTTCTTCTCCAGGGAGGGAAAGAGTCGGGAACGCGAGGAGCGATAGTGGCCGCGATAACCCGGCGATAACCTCCGATGTTGCGGCGATTCTTAGCCGGCACGGCCAGGGTCGGTGCAACAATGAGAGCTCCTTGTTGCGGTCCATCGTCCGCTGACAGATCGATCGAGGGCCTCGCGCGCTGCAAGAAGATGGCCGCCGATCGGAGGCTGCGCACGCCCTGCGCGTCCCAGAGGTACGGTTGGCCGATTAAGTTGCAACGACTCCTGCTTGGCGAGGTACGGAGACCTTTGTCGTGGGCGGCGATCAGCTGCTCCAAAGTGTCCATTCCGCTCTCGAATTTTACCCGATCCAAAACTTGACAAGCCATCCCGAGGATTACGAATAACCGTTCGTTTAGCTCGAGCTGACGCGGTATCGGATATTTTCAATTTATTTATATCGGCTCCTCGTTCACTCCGTTGGGGAGAGCCCAGCTGCGGAGTGTCGGAAATCAACGGAACGTTGATTAATAGAATTGATTTCGGTCCGATTAGTTATTAATGACCGTCGATGGGCGCGTTTAACCAAGCCACGGTCACGCGCGCCCAGATAGGGAGTAATCTTCGAAAGCTTCTCGGTTGACAGATCGATCGAGTCACGGCATCGCCAATTATCCTCATATATTACAAGATGGCCGCCGATCCGCTCGATCGCGCGCGCTACATTGTTGCGAGATGAAGTCGTGCATCCTCGCGATTAAATCCCCCACTCGTTGCGCCACCCTGCAAAAGCGTCGCTGGATATTTACATCCCCCCGGGTAATCGTGAGAGTCTATCCCGCGACAAAGTCTGGGATATCGGCACACCTTATATCACTCCCTTCCCTAAAAACATCATCGCATCTCGAATTAAAACACGCCCGACCCATTAATCCGATCACCGTCGATCGTCAGGGAATCGCGATAGCGTGACATCGGAACGATGTCTTTATTTATTAAAGATAATTATTTATAATCACCCGGTGATTGCGGCGAGTCGAAAAAACACCAGCCATCCCGACGGAAAGGGCCCCAGCATCCGATGGACCGATACGATGGAGCCTCCCCATTGGGCTGAAATGGCGATAGCCGATTGCCGATTGCGAGGCCTTGAAACGCGAAAACCCCTTCGCTGGGAATTTTCGTATCTACCCCGAAGCCGATCCTCCGATCCGCCGGTTCCCACGTAGCGTCGATCTCCGAGTCTCGTTACGCAAACCCGGCGCAGCTTAAAGCCGCTTACAATGTATCTCTCGCGAGGTGAAATCGAGGGGAGGTCGGCGGTGGTTCGGGTTAGAGATCATCCGCAATTATATCCCCGGTAAAGCCCCCGACTGTAGCGAATTATCGACGCCGGTAAATCGTGCCGATCCGTGACGATCTTTCGCTACAAAGTATCGGCCCGTCGCCATGTTGCCGCTTTGTCGGCCGAGACGGTGATCTCGAAGTACCCCCTTTCCGGGATCGGGGGCATCGAATTATTATCCAATTATGCATCGCTAAGAGCGCAAGCACCGCAGGAATCGAGTGGGCCGGTCGATTTTTTCCTTTCTCCCTCCCTCCGAGTTTCGAGCCGATCGAACGATTGTACGATTGAGCCATTAAGGAGACGGTACCGTGCAGCGCGCGAGGACATCGGTATACGTGCATTAAGTTTTTCCCAGCTTTACATATTCACCCCTTGATTGCGGTATCGCGTTCCAGGAGGCCGCCGATCCCGCGTCTCTTTACAGGGCAGGACGGCGATTAAGGGCTAATTTCGAATTTCCAGGGCCCCCTCTCGACTCGAGGGGTACTATCGAATATCTCGCATGAGGCACGGCAGGGTAAGCCAATAGCTTTGATTTTCTTCATTTTTCCCAGGGCCCGTAATCGCTCTATCCCAGCAGGGATTCCGACTATTTTGCCGCGCCCGAGAAACGAGATCCGCGGGCAGGGCATGTTATTTCGAAATCATTATGATTAAGCCGTCCCCTGGTTTCCTCGATTAATCGGCGGATTATCTACCCGGGGATTTTCGTCCCCCTCCCCGGGGTTCCCTGCTCGAATTTTTCCCCCTCACCTGAGGTACCTGGAAGCCGATCGCTAATTGCCACGTGTTCATTGACCGCCAAAAAGGAGAGTCGTTAGACTTCGACCAGCGTTTCGCGCAATTCCAATAACCCCCTATCGCAGCCCACCATAGATATCTGAGCAGGAAGTAATATTTTAGAATGACAATATATCTTCCGATAACTGACGGCGTCCTCGCGATACCGATACCCGGAGATATCGTCGATATCGAAAATGTGTGGCTTTCGGCTGCAACATCACCGATCGATGTAAACGCCCATCTTGCCCGTCCGTACCGAAACCGGCTATACAGAAAGGCTCTGCTCGACATTTTGCGAGCGAGGGATAACATCTCTTCGGGACCGGCACCCATGCTCAAAGAGAAACATACCCATTTGCTATTTGAGTGGCACTTACATCTCCGCGCGTATAATCAGGACTTTCAAGCCTGACCTCGCAAGTAAAAAAATGACAAAAGTACACATTCATTTTGACCGCTACGTACGTTCTACGCAAAAATTTCCTTCACATGCGAGCCCTGTATCCTGAATTTTCAACCTTAAAAAATCTCAAGTCAGGTGAAAGATTCCCGATACCTCGAATCCTAATATCTCCCGCGATAAGATTACAGCTATTGAATTTAATCTCTGAGAGTTTAGTTCCTCAGATGTTGAAAAAAAAAAAAAGAAAAATAAGAAAAGAACTCCGATCGGCCTCGAAGTTCTTCCCAGTGGAGCGTGCATCGGTGCATCGTGTTGCATCCATAGCGTGTTGAACTCCGAGCGCGCTTTAATGTGCAATCCACGCGATAGTTGGTTATCTTCGACAGTGTCCGTCAATGGGAAATAAATCGCGGCGCAGCACGGCGCGTAGTTTCTTTACGTTGGGAGATAATTCGAGCCGATCGTCCCGAAATATTTATAGCCCGCCACGTCGTCATTCACGGTCGCCGGATGCACCGATTAGCGTTTACGTTAATAGCGATCGAGGCCCTCGGATGATAGTACGCCTCGGTGAAATTATTCCCCGGTCCCCCCGCCTCGGCCTCCTTTTTTCTGGATCTTCGTAAGATTTTCGAGGGGTCCGGCAAAAAGGGCGAAAAGGGCCCGGTCATCGGAGCAGTAGCCGTCGGGCATTGTGCGGCTCGTCGCGACAGCGGTGATAGCAGCACTTATAATTAGAGCGGCCCTGCGGATGATTTATAAGCCGCACGCGGCCGCGGAATTCATTCCGCGGCTCGGCCCAAGAGCGGAGATCCCGATTTTTGTCGAGGCTTGTTTCCAAATCTGGCGCGCCAAGAAAGCCGGCGGTCGACTTTTTCAGTGAAACCAGCAGCTAGGAATTTACATACCGAGGCTGGAATGCGAAGGCCTCCTGTCGTTATCGCGGAGAAAAACGTCGACTGGGCTGCTCGAAGCTGGAGGTCGGACAGGGCGGACCGAACTCATCTTCCACGAGTCGACGGGCTCCGGATAATCTAGAATCCAAAATTTCGCGGCATGAAATTCAGGATAAAAATTATTCCTATCTATCGCACCGATAAGACGAATTTTAGGATATCGTCCGGCGAAAATTATTCCTATTTTCTGACAAGGAAAAACAAAAAGAAACAAAAATTGACGGCATCTTTGAAGAGTCGACGGGAGGCGCGGTCACGGCGTGAGAAAAATCCCGCAGCGGAGGAAAATCCGCACGTCTCACGCGTGCTCCAATTATACACTGGCATAATTTATCCCGAATTGAGTCGTTCGTGCTCCTTGTAATTTGCGACCTCTTTTATAATGCGGCTCGTTGCGTGAATTTCCAACGTGGACTCGCGTGCCTCCCGATCGGGCGACTCGACGAGATCGCACGTACGGAACGGATATTCCCGGACTCGTGTACATGTAGGTACATCTATACGCGAATGCACGCGTACCTCGGAATCGTACTCAGGGGGGGGAAGAAAAATTCGCAAAGTGAAATTTTATTTGCGACAAAAAAACCCAAGCACGCGCTCGTTACGGTCGTTACGGTCGTTACGGGCCGGCACCTCCATTTTTTATTCATCCAGCCAATAGGTCCGAGTTTTCCACGATGAAACTTTCAGCCCCGAAGGATTCCGCTCGGATGGCTCGTGAATTTTCGATAAACTTAAAAAAATGCCGCTCCTAGCGACGCCGCGGAATTTCGATTCGAAGCCACCGAAGAGTGAAAAGTTTTTCCGCAACCGACAAGGCCAGAGTTCCTGCAAAGAGGACGACTTCGATTTTTCCCCATTCTACGGAAGACAGGACCTCTAACGGTGAAAATTCAATTTGCAGAGGACACTCGGCGAAGTGCCGTGAATTATGAAGAAGCAAGTGGGAGGGTGGGGAATTTTTGGAAAAATGAGCAGAATGCGACGCGACGAGTTTCGGTTAATTATTCACCGTCCCTCGTGAAATTACCGGGAGGATACTGGGTACTTAGAATATTTCTAATCTTTGATATCTCTTAATTAATGAGCACTGGTATCCGAAGCTTCGAAATTGTTGGCCAACCTTTTTAGAACCCCCCATAGTCGACGCTTGGCGTCCGGTAGTAAAATGAAGGCACCGCGACGTCAGTGTTTAAAAATTCTGGAAATATCGAGGTAAATTAATGGACGGTGACATCGTTCCACGGGTTGGGTATCAATTTTTGAAAATCTTTCCCCGAACGACAGGATAGCGCGCGGCGTCGCGATGGCGGCCGGACGCCAAGCGTCGGCCGTCGGACATGGCGCGGCGTCGGGCGGCGCTCGTTACGGGATTCCTCCGTTCGTTGGGCGAGTTTGAAAAATTGATACGTTTCAACAGTCGCGGCTCGTTAAAACGACGCCCGACGTTGCCAGGGCGATCTCGTAACGTTACTATTAATACCGACACGTATTTTTGACGCCTGTTCGGTCCGACGCCGACGCCGCAACCGCGTGAGAATTAATTGCCGCGAACCGTGCCCAAACGTTCCGCGAGCTCCGACTGATTTTCCATTTTCTTTCGCCGGTTTCCTCGCGATAAGCGCCGACATATCGACAGAGGCGGAACAAAATCCCGCGGCCTCTGGAAAAACTAAAACGAAAAAGCCACCTCGAAAAACGAGGAGTTCAAATCGATAAAACTTCGAGAGTAAGTATCCATAACGCGGGAGGCTTGTCTCAAAAATAGAGGAAGAAGATTCGTCCGGAAAGTTTCCAAGATGGCGGCGGCCGGACCGAGCGTCGCTCCGTCTCGATCGACGTCTGCAAACGGAACATCTCATAAGTGACTCAACCACCGTTTCCGCCGTAATGATCAGTCGGAGCATTAATTGGGCACTTTTCTAGGCGTGTAATCAAGTTATTACCGTTTTCGCCACTCGAGGTATCTGCATAAGGAGGTGCGCGGGTAAGAATTATTAACTTCTTATCGGCGGTAATAGGTGGAACGGAATGTCTGGCTCGACAAGGCGAGAAATCTAGGAAGTTGGCAAGAGAGCTTTTCCTTCGCTCGTTTGTCCACGGCTCGCTCCTAATTTCCTCTGCGCGAGTTTACGTAACCGTTACCGAATAAAATCGATTCTCAACACCGTTCAATGCCGGCCGTTTATTCCAGAGATCCATAACGTCGCGAACGATCGCGAAAGGTTTCGCAAGCTCTCGGGAACGACGCGCGAATCGTTTCATCGCGGCTCTCGTTTCAAAGGGGTTTCGAGCCAGTGTTTTGCGAAATCTCGAAGTACGTCGTCGAGCCTCCATTTGTACCGCGTTATGACGCGCTTTGATCGCCTCCTATGATGTCGAGAAGCTCTCGAAAATACGCTCAACCCCCAACTGCAAATGTATTCCGAGATTTTCTCGGAGTAGTTACTTCACCGCGAACCGGACTCTAAAACCGCAAGTAATTCCATACTCTCATAATATACAAAGTTGCCCCAAGATAACGGATTTCATATTTGCAATTACAGACAATTAAGATCGATTCGGATAGTTACTAAATCCTGGCTTGGAGTTTCTCAACATTTTATCGCAACCTTCTAAACCAGCATGCAAAGCCATAGAACCTCTACCCTAAAAACGCAAGTAATTCCATACCCTCCATGATATACAAAGTTGCCCCAAGATAACGAATTTTTCCATTCAGAACTACAGACAATTAAGATCGATTCGCATAGTTTCTAAACCCTGGCTTGTAATTTCTCAACATTTTGTGATAACGTTCCGAACCAGATTGCAAAGTCACAGAACCTGTACATCGAGTACACGAGTGAACCATAATTTTACTAAGCCGTGTCCGAATAGAAATATCTATACCCGTTCCCTGAATTTATTACAATATATCTTTTTATCAGCGAAATTAATTTCTAATTGAGTTACAAATCAAAGTCAGACATACCGGTGACTTACCCTCGACCGGAAGTGGTACCTCGTTCCTGATAAAAGGAATTATTTTTCTCCTCACGGTGTTCACTTCCCACCCTCGGTATTAAATTAATCATTTCGAATGATCCAGAAAATCACAGACTCTAAATAAAAAAAATTAATTCGTCCTATCTTTTAAGTTGCTAGAAGCAGAATCCGACGGCGCGGAGACGGAGGTCCAGCCAGACCGTCGGCAAAAATCCGTCGGCAAATCCGCTACGTGGAGAAACGTCGAATCTCTCGAAACCGCGATACCGAAGAAGTGCATCATTTCGGCGCCATGGTGCCGAGCCACTCCACCATTTTGTACCGCTATGCGCCATGCAGCCTCGGGCTGGACCCCTCGAAAGACAGCGCCCATTGCAGCACCGGTTTGGATGCTGCATGGGCGTCGAGACGCCTCTCGCGTGGCGAGAAAAACTCGCGCTTATGCCTACAAATAACGCCCCGAAGTAAAATATTTCCTCCCCCTCCCCCCCAAAAAAAAGGTACACATATATACAATAAAATGAGGACGATCTCTACATAACGAAATAAATTTCTCACCGTCAGATAAATTATATAAACCTTCGCCATGGTTATCAATAACCTAAATATTAATTACAGCGCGTGTTATTAATTTCTACCTTCACTACCATAGGTTTACATGTAAGTGGCGTGAATATCGAGCATGGAGATTAAACCAGATCGTTAATTATTATGGATATTAAGTCGATCGGAAATGTTAAAATATTTCGTGCGTGTTCCGGGTGGAAATCTCAGGAATGACTGGTGAGTTATTAAGAGTTATTGTTAATACCGAGGAGAAGGAAGCGTTCGAATTTTATCGACGCTTTCGCTCGAGGGGGTGCAGTCTAGGTCGCGGTCGTCGGTGCGCCTCCCGCTCGCCGAAATATCAGCATTCCCGGGATTATAAATGCCGTAGCATTTATTAAGTCGGTGCCCGCTACTTGGTTGCGTTCCGAAATGGATGCCTCGTGACGCGGCGCAGCGACGCTGTCGTCGGAGCGCCATACGAAAAGTGAAATATCCCCGTCGTATTTTCACATGCGCCCGGACAAATGCGTTCCGCGGCTCTGACAGAGCCCGCTGCCTCGCGACGAGTTAAAAACTACTGCCGAATATGTTGCTCCTTTATCAATTAAGCCCTTCGAGTAGAGACGCCGGTGCAGCATCCCACGGGTCCAGAGGCGACCCGGCGCATCCTCTTTGATGGTACAACCGCTCATCCGGGGGAGCGCTGCTCCCGTCTCGGCCCAGAAGTAGCGACGAGCAAGATCGGTCTTGGTCATGGTGTCGCAAAAAGTGCAAGCCAAAGTCGCGACCATAATTGCGAGACCAGGACCAAAATGCCCGACCAAGACCAATACAATCTCGGCGTCGATCTCGAAGCAAAGTCCCTCACAGGAAATTGGAGACTTCTATGCCGGGAATTTCCAAAAAATCATCCCGAAATCCCAAGCAGAAATCGGCTAGAAATAATCGCTGAACGTTATCGCAATTTTAAGGCCGAAACCAAAGGCAATCGTTTTCCCTGATTCCCGAGCAAACAGGCCCTCGGTTTCGAGTATCCATTTCCTCGTCACTATTTAAATGAGAGGCCCCTCTTAATTTGCGGTTTCCGTCCTTTTTTGGCGTCTCCACAAGGAATTCGATTCCGAGAGGCGCCTCCTCGAGGGCCGCGACAAAAAGACGCGTATTCCTCGCGACACCCGTGGATAATTCCCCGTGACAATCGCGCAATTACCCAAATTGAAAGATTGCCTGGTGTTGCCCGGAGAGGACGTGCACGTACGAGCGGCTACAGGTTCTCGGGGAGGCAAAAAGGGGACCCCAGGTCTGGATGAGAGCCAGGGTAACGCGAAAATCGTGCGTGCCGGTGGAACGACATCGGCGCTTCTTTGTTGGTCCATTCCGCGAAGACGAATGGCGAGAGATTTTCAAGTAACGCGCGGTCATGGAAACTCGGGATAAACAATCGCATTTCAATGTCAAAGGGTCCGGTCATCTCTGGCGGGGGATTAACGAAAACGCCGGGCATTAATTTTGGATCGTCGGGGACGGAGCTACAGGTGGGCTGTAAAAGTGTAACCGGTCGAGGAAATTTCCATCCATCTTTCGTTTTTCAAGACGGGGAAACGGGCCGGGGGGTTTAATGGACGGATTCGTGGTCGGTAAATGAGATAATATCCGCGGACCTCGCGAAATCTATCGCCGGGCCTCAAATATTAACCCATTGGCGTCACACCGACACGACATCCGACGCGTCGTTCTGCCAAACAGTCCGCCAATTCAAGAAATATGAATGGCTAATTCCTTCTTAAATCTATACGCCTTACGATCGATAAATGACAGCAAGGACGGGAAAGCATTTATCAAGCGCCCCGTTGAGGAGCTTCCGTAGTAACCAGTGTTTGTTTACTTAAACCTACGCTCCTTAAACCTAGAACTATGATGAAACATAACGTTCGGCGAGGTGAGACATTCCTCGACGGTGTCGAGGAATGTCGATTGTTTTCACAGGGGGACAAAAACGCAAGGATTATCCTACGTGAATAATTATTAAGTCTTACTGTTTAGTGTAATGTAGGAAGAAATTTGACGTAGACATCGATGTGGGATACCTCGCCGTCTTCTAGGACAACTCTGAGAGGTCTCCGAGGAGGTTCTCACAGGTGGAGGCGATAACGCTGCAATAATCGAGCGTAGGTCTCGTATAGGCTCGGCTAACGGTCAGGTAGTTGCCTACTCGCTTTCGTAACTACGTGCAGATTAAGTGCGAGAGTCGGCTCGTCCACGCTTACTCGGGACCTCCTTTAATCATCTCGGGTCCCTATCGTCTCTTACGGGCGATCGTCGGCGTAGCCCCTGGTGCACTCCCGTGCACATTCCAGGGCCGGCGAGCCCGGGAAAAGTTCCCCGGTAATTCCTCGAGAGCACGGACCCGAGCGCGAGATAAGAGAGAAATAACAAGACAGGGGAATAATATGTCCCGCGTGCATATATCCGTGTGCGTGTATACGGTATGGGAAGAGGCCGGAGCCTACGGAGGCCGCCGGGCGGTCCGCCACGGTCGGGACCGGTCTGGCGCGACTCGACCCGCATCGGCGCGCTTCGGGCGCGCTCGGCCGGACTCGGGCCGGCTCGGCCTACCCGGTCCGTCTCGATCCCGCTCGACCCGACTCGGCCAGTCTCGGGTAGGCTCGGCTCAGGCGCGGCTCAGGCTCGGCCGCTGGGTCCAGGGGAAGAGATGGATCATCCATCGCGGCGGCCATGAATCATGGCCGCCAGCTAGCCGCTGCCCGGAGAACGAGCGAGGGGGTGGGCGACCGGGGGCGGCCACGGGGTGACGGCTGCTCCGCGGGCAGGAAGGGGGTGCTTAGGGGCGAGGGGTGAGGGGCTTCCGGAAGTCCGCCCGTTCTCCATTTTTCAAAAATAAAACCAACCGCAGCTCCGCCTCATTGTTTGCTCTGCAAGCCGGCCAGGGAATGGGGTGGGCCGCCCGAGAAAATCATGGCATTGTTGCAACGTAACGTCGATGACGACTCGGTCGATATCGAATTACGTCCTCTCACTTTGGCTTCCGATCTCCCCCTCTCTGTCTTGAACTTTGTAAATTCGTCTTCGGCAAAAATTCACGTTCTTCCGCGGAGAGGCTGACGACTACACGTTTAATTCTCCTCGTGACGATATTGCCGCGAGTTTACGAGGCGAGGCGAATGACTTTATTTAATTCAAGGGATTAAAAGCCAGCTCGGTATGCAAATTAACGCGCTCCAACATGGCGGACCTGCTCTCGCGGGGCATCATGGGACGCCGAGCTCACAGGGACGGACGCGGGACTTTAGACGAAACTCTTCGCACGTTTTGCAATTAACGACACGTAGCCGACTCGTTCCAAGGAGACAAATCATCGGACGTGACGAGAACGATGACGTCGTCCGTTCGCTTAACGACGTCCAATTAGCGTCATGAATGTTCCATCGGTCAAGGAGAACGCGCCTTTCGTCGCGAGCGCTCGAGGATGTTACTTATCTCCTCTTTGTTAAAAAGCGGCTCCCCACGAGAATCGAATTGTGAAAAAAGAAATACCCCTCGAGGGAGGAGGAGAGAGGTCAGCTATCTTCCCGTTGAAAAAGACACGTCGGGAATTCGTTCGGGCGTCAATCTCGAGGAGGAAAGGCGTGCGCCCTGCACGTGCGCACACGCGAGGCACGCCCGCCATTGTTCTGCGGCGAGAATGGTCGAAGGCGAGAACGAGCGGAAAAAAAAAAACCGATATCGGACTCTCTAGCCGCAAATAGTCGAGATTACTTCCGAGTTACATGGTATTCTCTACGTCTACGCCCCCTTTGTATCGAGGATACTCACCTTGGAGTATTTTTATTATTTATGATAATATACCTAGTCGCCATTTTTCTACGGAGAAATTCTCTCTTAGGGGAACGAGGGTCGAAACAAAGAAAGTAACCAGGGGAGCCGGACAATGGCGGCCCCGGACTTTCTTTCGCCCTTGCGAACTACCAGTCTTGACCTCGAAACCACAAGCCACTGCCTGACGTCGATCGGCGCAATTTCGGAACGGCTCTTCCTCTTGTCTAGGCGGTTGTAAATTTCTGCCCCGAAGGGAAAAGTCCACGGAAGGCTATTGCGGTCGGGGTTAGTGATCCGCAAGGACGGCCGCTCCGGATTTGACCTAATTGCGTCGCGACGCTCCACGTCGCGTCACGGCGCGTCATGGTACGTGCCACCTAGTCAGACAATACAGTCAGTGGACGTAAATCACTCGAGAATCGCACCGGGACCAGTTGCACGCAAGACGAAACGCAAGCGGGCCTCCTTCTGCTCCCGTCTCGCCGCCATCTTGTCTCCGTCTCCCTGAGAGAAATCTACCACTCCTGGGAATTTTGGAAAATTCCATTTCCTCTAGAATTCAATTACCATCGCCACGGAGTGGAAAGAGTACTACCGTTCCCCAATTTTCACGCCGAATCCTACCTCGGGTAACGTGTAAACACAGAAATTCTCCCCTGATGAGTTTTTAGGTTAAGGATTTTACCGAACGGAATTTTTATTCTGAATTTAACGAATATTTTGTATACGCGGGGGGCAATTAAATTGGAGAAGTAATTAATTAGGAGTTTAAGGTACATGGATATTGAATGTTTTGTTACATATCGCAGTGTTTATTAACGGCGGCCATATTGGATTGCAAGGATTCAGAAGAATTTCACCGTCGCGGGTCCATTTGGCCATCTCGCGGTGAAACGAGGTGCGGAATTATGGGGAAAATCTCGGAGGATGAAACGACGGAAAATCAAAGGCGCATTTCGAAGAGAGAGAGAGAAGCAGGGAGGGCAGAAGCCGAGCGTGAGCGTAAGCAATGAAAGCAAGAGAGCAGCAAGTGGCTCGTACGTCAGCCGGTGGCTCGTAAACGTCAGCGGTGGTGCTCGTAAACGTAAACGCGATGCTATAAGGGGAT